TAGCTGGTCCTATGAAAGATAAAGTTGGTCGAAAAGCTGTCAAATATTACTTTATGCCTTGTGCTCTAAAACCAGCAGATGTAGAAAAAGAGGAGAGAGATGGGTCAGTTAGTCCAGTTCCTTTATTGATATGTTTTGAGTGTGGTTATACTCCTGTTGGTGTTTTCTGTTGTCTAGTAGTGTATCTTCTTGATCAGAAGACAGATCAAGTATTGGAATGGAAATTAACTGGTAATGATCAATATCGTAACAGGATTACCTTTCATGTTGGAAAATACCATGATACTGTTACCTTAATCAGTCATGCTACTTACCTTGAAGTGTGGGTTCAGCAAATAAAAGGCTCACAGCTGTCAACAAGTGATTTACTGTCATCATTACACAAAGGACTAGTCACAGTGACACAATCACTCCATTACACTTACAAGTCAAAACATGAGTTTGGAGTACCATGTACATGTACTGGAGTACCTCATCCTGCTGTGATTGACTTTAATGAAAGTGCAACTAAGTGTGTGAATGGCAGAATAGTGGAGTTTAACGAGAAGCAATTGTACTGGTCTAAGAAGGTAAGTAACATTACATCTTTGTAAACTATGTATGCCGGTAGGTTGTTGAACTGAATAACACAATACAAAACACTAGCAGCAAAGTATCATCTCAAACTGGTAAATCAATCAATTTGATGTGTGTTTGTATTAAACATTATCTTGTAGAATCCCATAAAAGTTCTTCGTCCCATGGCACAGCTGCAGTAGATACAGAAGGTTGCTAAAATGAATTGATTTTTATTCTTGTTTACATTTTGTCTTTTAGTTTGTCCTAGAGACTTGTTTCGTGAACATTCAGCTGATATTACCCAATGCATCTCATTAGATGTAGTACGTGTTGCTGATAGACTGTTTGCTGCAAAAGTGATTCCTGAACAATTAAGAAATGAAGTATCTAATGTAACTGGTTTAGATGACTATAGAAAAGCCAACAAAATGACAGTTCACATTCAAAATACTCTCAGTTGTCATTCAAATCCAATTGAGTATCTTACTGAAGTGTGCTATGCATTGTCCCATATAGACAATGAAACACTCAAGCACTTTCTTATTAGCATACTGAAAAAGCTGG